AACAAAGCAAGCTAAAAAGAAATGTTCTGAACAACCAAGACTTTATCACCTTTAATCAGTACACGTGATTATTTAGTTGTGAAAGGGGGGGAGTGGGGGCTAAAAAGAGAGGGGGGCTTAACAAATTTCTTCCTTTAAAAAAGGGGGGGGCTCATTTGAGAGGGGGGCTAAATAGAGGATTTACGGTAGTTTTCTCATTCTGAAGTTTCTCATTTGCATTTCTCATTATTATTATTATATTCAAGAACAAAACTAGCCCTGTTGGGTGGCTGGTGGTGGGTCGTGTACACGTTACAAAAATCCTGTGCGTGAGAGTAGTAAGGTCGAAATTCGTTCTCGCCCGAGTCCTACGCAGGTAGTAACCTTGACATAACATGGCAGAAAATTTTCTGCAAGCTAAAATTGTTCTGCACGAACATTTCACTCATAGAAATCTTGTAGGAAGAGACAAAAGAGTTTTAAATAAATGAATCCCCCATTGTAGGGATCATTTTGATCAAGTTTTTTGTGGAGTTCGAGGTTTAAAAGACGATGAAATCGTGGTTCAAAGTGAGTTGTTTGTTCAAATATGGTGACTGTAGAAATGCATATGAAGCAGAAGAAACGCAGGCTCTGGGTACGAGATTGATTTGCACACGGATTCAGAGTATGTGCAGACGTTTTTTACTCGTGTCGTAAAGGATACTTATCAGTGTTCACGAAAATGTTTTCTGCTGATAAAAATATCACCTCTCCCAAAGTACACGGCTTTATATCTCAAATACGCATTCAATAAATTTTGGTCGCATTTGATATTTTGCTATATATGGGTCCAAAAGGACATGTTTACAAAATATTGAGCTTACTTATAAGGAGGCTTGTAGAAGGCGCAAATGTAAAAACTGGACCCAAATGTAATAAGGGTCACAAATGTAATAAACTTTGGTCACAAATGTAATAAAGGTCACAAATGTAATGAACTTTGGTCACAAATGTAATAAAAAATTTTTTTGTATTATTCTCAAGGCCAAAACTAATTGTGCTTTTGTTGTAATCTCAAAATCCATTGCACAACTGTACACCGTGCATGCAAATTTTCCACATTTTTTTCTCAGATATAAGATCACAAATTGTTTGTACAATTTCCAAATTCATTTAATTTTTAAAACGATTCACAACATTAAACCTAAAACAAGCTTTATTAAACTCGATCAACTTATACATTAGACAATCAGATCAATAGGTATAAAGTAGAGATTACAACATCAGTATATCGTTTTCATGTTTTTCATGCATGACAATTGATTTTGTGACATAATTGACTGACTTTTTTCTTATAAGCTTACACGAAAACCGTTAGCTCATTTCAGGGAGGGGTCCGCACCCCCTGCACCCCACCCTAGATCCGCCCTTGCTTCCATCAAGTTTGCAACTGAAACAGTTCTTCAGTACCAAACTCTTAAATACTTCGGCAGTTGACATTTATGTTATGAGAGGGAAAATTAATGTTTTACAGACTAAGCTAGACATCAGTTTTTCTAATAACTATTTCTTATCGTATGAAAACAAGATAAAGAACGATCAATTAGTTATTGAAAATATCGATATAAGATTTCAGCAAGGCTACCATCACGCAAGTTTAGATGATGGTATGCTTTGAATCTACAAGTAAACCACTTAGCTCCTCAGTCCCATTAGCATGTACACCTATGGTTACGCCCTACACACTCTTTACCCCTTTGCTTAGTTATTTTACCACTATTCTTTTAAATCTTATGATATAATTATTCCTCGTAGACCTTTCTATACATTTACCATATATTCACATATTATCTTTGGTTTAAGTTATGTTTAGTTCTAAGATTTTCACTCGTATTGAATGAATAATGCGGAATGTGATGTTTTAAGGGGAAAATTATTTTCAGACTACTGGCATTAAACCATGGTTTTGTGTTGCAGTTGTTTGGAAAAAAATCTTTTGAAAAAATAGTGATAACTTGCGATCGTCCCTAAACTGAACTAATGATCTACAACCATTGAGACATCAAATGAAAGAAAAAAATAAACACACGTACACACAATAACATGAAAATAAATAGCGAAAAAAGAAATAGAAATACATTATTCGACATTAATTCCATTTTATTATCAATAACAGCGTAATTTATGAATAGAATTAGCATGATTTTAAGTTATTTATGTTACACACTTTGTACTCTATTTGATTATATTTTTTTACTTGGACTGATACATAAGATTTCTTTCGGGTTTTTTGGACATGTACATTTGTGACCTATATTACATTTGTGACCAAAGTTTATTACATTTGTGACCCTTATTACATTTGGGTCCCGTTTTTACATTTGTGCCTTCTACAGGCTGTGGGTAGTTTTGGTCTGGCACACCTAACCGCATTGGAAACGGCTACAACTTCGTCTTGAATAACTCGATCTGCAATCGTTTACCGCTTATTTTTTCGAAAACTAGACCTGAACTTTCAAAGCGACTTGTACCAGTCGATAGTAGTATTCATCAAGACACCGTACATATTGCAATATGAAAAAAAGTGTGAGAGCGTTTTCCAAATATTACGCGATGGATATTTTCATGGACTTTTACTATTATTTCCAGCGTGTCAGCTTTATACCCTCAAAATCGGGACTTCAATTTAGTGGATTTAATATTTTAAGTAACTAGAACATAGGTACGGATATAGACACTGTCATTATTGAGTATGAATCAAATTGTGACTTTCTTTCTAACGTTATGGATTTTTTGATATGAAGCTAAATGACTTTTGTTGTCAAAAGCGAGGGAGCAGGTGGTAGGCGACACGGTGCACGTGACATTCATCGTCCAATCAGATTCCCTGATTTTTCCCCCGAATGTCGCGCGAAAAAAAAAGGTTGAAGCATTTTCCAAATTCCTATTGCTGAAGAAAAAGCCTCTCTATTTCCTCCAAACTAAAAATTAAGAGCTTGTTGCAAGGACATGGAAAGGATAGGCCTTCTCCTACTGATAATTGAAGTTTGAAGTAAAACTAAATAAAATATCTTTTGTTTCTTCGCTTGAAAGTGGGAAGTTTATAAAGTGATTGTTTACGCTTCACTTTTAGTTTTTCTTCTACCGGAAGTTCCTAAAACTCCTTTCTGTTTGTAGGCCAAATCATTTAATTTAGGATTTGAATGGACTAAGAATAAGTGTAGTGAAGAATGACGTATTGAAAAGTTCCGGTCGACCTCTTCTAGTTTCTCTGATATTTTAGTTATACTTGAAGCGTATACAAGTGTATTTGTACTGCCACACACATCAACAACAAAAAGACGAAGCACCTAACAACGTCTAGTTTTTTCCCGAAATTACGACTTGGAAACCGACAAAAATCTAGAAGAAGTCCTTAAACATACACAGCAGTATCATGTACTTGATAAAATAATACTCTTTTTAACACACTTTTGCCGCTTATTTTATCAAGTACATTTGCCTATTACTAGTTTCAAAACTGTGTTTACGAACGTGGGAACCCATTTGCAGTCGTGATTCACCTCTTTGACGAGCTGTTTGATTGGACAACTAGCTGTCAAAAGTGACATCTAATGATTGACACCGCACTTTTTCTAAAAGCAAGCCGAGAAAGGAGTAAACTTTAGTCGTAATGTTTTGCTATACGTACTAGAATTTATCATATGACCCGTACGGCCCTGCTCGCGCGCTCTAATAAAACCATTGGAAAAAGTCACGTGATGGGGGCCGGACGGGTTGACGTAAGCGGGCCGGAAAAACCCGTCCGGCCCTGCTCGAATCCGCGCGCTTTCTTTTTCTTAATTATTTTTATTTTCGTGAGGCTCATATGATAAAATGCTTATTGACTGAGTTAGGTCGGGCCGCACGGGAAAATATTTGGCTCTCGGTCATTTGCACGGACCTCGCTGCGCTCGGTCCGTACGACATGACCTCGAGCCAAATATTTTCCCGTACGGCCCGACCTAACTCAGTCAATAAGTACATATTATGCCTTTTATACAGCAAAAAAGGTATAATTTTTAAAAGTCTGATGTCTCGATGTAACCATGAGGAGTCTCAATTGATAGGATTTGTCTTTGGGAACCAACTCGAAGAGTGGACTCGTAAAAAAAGAGATTGAAAATTTCAAAAAGGTTTGAGAAACTAATCTGGAAAGGAACTACATTTAACTTAACTTAGGTGTTATCAAACTACATTCAACTATTTCTTCAATTGTTATTTGGTTGAACTATCACAAAAGGCCAGTATTATCTTAGTTAGCTTTGAATCTAAACGACTCTAAAACTGTTTTCTTTTTCATAATAAAAATAGCCAAAGCCATTTATAAGCTGAAGCTGTGAAGTTTTTCAACTTTTCAAACTTTTGTACGAGTTTACGTATTATATTGAACATGGAGAACTTTGCTTAGCTTTTTCTTTTCTTTTTTACTGGGAGAGGGAGGGGTGGGTTATTTGCAAGATCTTTAACTTCTGAAAATAACATCAGAAATACCGTAAATTTTCAGTTTCGAAAGAAGCAGCTGGAGCTCTGTACACTACGACGGTCAGAAGCAAATAAGCACATTTTACATTTTCGCCCATCATGCTTTGCGAACCCGTGTCGCACACCACCTGGGATAGAGGTACAGAAATAAAGCAAATGGTTGGAAAGTGGATGAGCAATTATTCCAGCTATTTTGAGACACATACGACAAATATGTAGATTAATAAGTCCAATTCCTTCCCCTCTAACTGTAGACCACCCACAACACGAATGGAGCTTTCCTTGGTCTTGGAACTGAGAAAGGATAGGAACCCAAAGGGAAGAGGACACTCTTGGGTAAAAACTGGGTAAAGTTGGCATTGCAGTACATTCTGGGGCTGTTCAGTTACGAAGATATATTTTCCAAGATTGCTTATATTTCGTCCCATACAACAGCCCTACAATGCATTGCAATGCCAACTCGCTCAGGTTTTTCCTCCACTTAAAAATGGCTAATAGGAGTGAAAGAACTTTACTATTAGCACAATAATGATACAGCAATGAACCACAAATAAACTTTCTTTGAGATAAACTACATCAGTCACAAAATTTAAAATATTGAAATCAGTCTGTTTCATAAAAAGATTGACCTATGCAGGCGGTTTTCACAGATCTTTGAAGTGACTGACTCTAGCATGCAGATGGTTGATTGATACAGCTTCTGGATTGAGCCCTACTTTACAGTGGTGACCAAAAGTCACCATTAGTCTCCTTCGTCATCTTTTTCCTAAAAATAAATAAATACAAATTAAACAACTCAAATCAGGAAAGTTTGCTTATTCAGTCTTTCGTGTCTTTTGCTTTTCCTCTTTCAATGGTCTGACGACCGGATCTCATTATTGACAGCATACCTCTTTGCTGCAGGATGTTTTGTCGTGCTTGTATAAACGCTTTTATATCGGCGTCTGCTTGACTGTCTCCCGTTGTAGGATTACTTGAACTAAAGTCGTTATTAGAAAAAAAACAAAATCCGGTAAAGAGAAGGATTAAAACTTGTGAAAAAGTGTTCACGGTACGGCAACTAGAATTCTATGAGTCCCTCCCAGGGGTTTTAGGGAACAAGGGAACAAGGTCATTGACTTTCAGGGAATGAAGGATATCATTAAATAACTTTTAGGGAATAAGGGAACAAAATTGTTAAAAATCATATCTTTGGGAGGGCCTCAGTATAGTTACATTCATGCAACGCTTTTTTGAAAGGCTTTTAAGTAGGAGGTTAAAGATACACCCACACTGCATACCTGTGTAAAAGGGATCTGTTTTGAGATTTATGAGCGTTCTCAAGTTTGTCGTCATCACATGATTCGTTGTTACTTCGACTAAATTGTAATGATCCTTTCGAAGCGTATGCACTAGTGTAGACCGATGAAGCTAGACGGGCCTCTGCTCGAAGCTTTGACGCCATTTTGCCTGACACATCAGCTGAATTATCTTGGGTCCGAAGATGACGTTTTGCAGAAGGTGGTCTTGTTCTATCCGGGAAGGGTTTAAGTGGCGATAGAGGTGGAGTCTTCCAGGCGTTCTTCACATCATGCACAGACTATTTTAGGAAGGTCACAAAGAAGTCAAAGATTTAGACAAAAAAAAAAAAAAGTATTCAAACTAAACTTACTTACGTCAGTTGTGTGCAACGCTGCCTGTTCTGCCCACCATAATTCAAAGTCCTTCTGCATCTGAACCTTCGCTTTTTCCAACAAATGCTGCAAATGTTCGATTTCTGTCTTCATCGAGCGAAGGCTACTAAAATTCGCCTTGTACCTACAGCAAAAATATAAAATGCATTTAAGGAGTTTTTGATTTGGTAATATGATGTCGTTTTATGTTTTATATTAGTTGAAATAGTATATAATTAATACGAAGATAAAGACTGTGGAAGCATACAGAAATAGTATAAACCGAAATGGCGGTAATCATACTTTTTTTAATCATTTCCTCTTTCGAGCTTCAGTCATTTTGCGATAGGATTTGACAAGATATAGGTCTGAGCATAACAGAATTCGTGTTTGAATTTTTATTATGTTGTTATATCCGCCAAACGTTCAGAGTTTCTGGTAAAAAATTTTTTCGAGAAGATACGAGAAGGTATTGATCGTTTTGCTTGGCATCTGGTCACCTGATACTGCTTCGAAATGTGGTATTGGGCTTCCTGTGTAAAATTTACTCACTCACGAACATGGATTGATAGCATAGTGGTACTGCTTGTGCGAAGCAGTTCCACGAAAAGGCGGGCATGATCGTCGAAAAAAAATAAGTATAGTCCCTAAAAGAGAGACTGAGTTTGATTGTGGCCCTGGTTTAATTTTAGCCCTAAAAGATACCACTTGGAATAAAAAATAAATCATTTAAAACAAAAATCACTAACTTTATAATTTTTTCTAAAATTATCGTCACATCGTAACTTCAACCTATATAGTACGATCATCCCCGCCCTTCGTTATATGGGAGTATCCCCCCCCCCCTTCCCCTCGGTTGGGGCACAGCTCAACCAAGGGCGGATCCAGAGGGGGGTAAAGGGGGGCTGAAGCCCCACCCCCTTCAGCAGAAAAAAAAACTGAAGAATTATATGCTTTTTTTATTGTTTTCCGTTGTGTTGACGGAAGAAACTCAATTAGTCCCCCCCCC